ACTACTACGACTACTACTACTACTACTTACTACGACTACTACTACTACTTACTACTACTACTACTACTACTACTACTACTACTACTGCTACTACTTACTACTACTACTTACTACTACTACTACTACTACTACTACTACTACTACTACTACTACTACTACTACTACTACTTCTACTACTACTAATACTACTACTACTACTACTACTACTACTACTACTACTACTACTACTACTACTACTACTACTACTACTACTACTACTACTACTACTACTACTACTACTACTACTACTACTACTACTACTATTACTACTACTACTACTACTACTACTACTACTACTACTACTACTACTACTAATCATACTAATAACATTAATAATGAAACTAATAACAGTAAGAGTAATCAGTAAGTATATTAGTAATAATACCAGTAATAATGCTGACAAGACTGAGGGTATTCATATGACTAACAAGAATATGACGAAGCAGGAGAATAACATGACGACGAACATTCAGAACACTAATAAGACGGATAATCATAGTAATACTGAGAATCATAATACTACGAAGGAGAAGAGACACTAATAATCCGAATGCGATGCATAATAAGAAGAGTACTGCTATTAATGTTACGATTAATACTACGCAGAAGAGGAATCAGAGGAGGAGGAGGAGGAAGAGGAGGAGGAGGAGGGCGGAGGAGGAGGAGGAGGAGGAGTGAGGAGGAGGAGGAGGAGGAGGAGGAGGAGGAGGAGGAGGAGAAGGAGGAGTCACCGATCTTTCGAGCGGCTGTACGCATCGCGGGAAAACCGCCGCCGTCGTCTCCACGGGGCCCCCCGCCGAGTCTCGCTTGGGGGCCATGAACACGCCTCAGGAGCCTCCCTGCGGCCTGCTGCAGGGGAGCCCTGGCAGCTTCAGTCTGTGTCGGGGGTGGACAGACCTCCTAATAGTGACACGTCGATTAGTGAATTGTCCGTTTTGCGGTTCTGGAGAGGGCGCCGCGGCCGTTGTTTTCCAGGCTTGCGCCCGCCAGGTTTGGGCCTCAGGTCGTTTTCGCGAAGCCACGCTTTACTAAAGGGTGGTCTGTCCATCCCCGAATTGGGGGCCCTCACTGGGCCCCGGGACGGTAGCAAAAACGACTCAGGGCGAAAAGCCGCTCCCAGGGAAGGGGGCCAGACCTCTTGGGAGCCAATCTGTATGAACAAGACACGATATCGGATGTCTGGCAGGGGGCGGGGTGGAGAAGTCTCTCCGACGAGGTGAGTTTGAAGAATTCTTGCCGGTTCCTTGACGTTTTTCGTTCCGGGATATGCTTCCCAGTTGCAGCTCGCCGAGAGTGTTCCAAGGATGATGTCATAATCATCCTGAACGGCTGCTGGAGGCCCAAATTATGGATTATGGCCTGAAACTTCAGACTTTCGACGACACTTGTTGCCGCGGCGCGATCGACGCATATCACTGCTTAAAACCTCGACTGGATTTTAGATGTCGAGGTCCTGGTGCTATTTTTTAGCCCCCGAAGAAAGTCTGGGTTTGCATCACGAGTCGTTTTTCGGCGGTCCTGGGCCCGGCGAGGGCTCCCAGGGGCCCCAAGCGACGAACAACATCCGCTGGTGAGGCTCCGGGCGGCGCACAGACAGCCCCCCCAGGTAGCCCCGGCTGGCCTCAACAAGCCCCCCCGAGTGGCCCCAGCCGGCCTCAACAGGCCCCCCGAGAAGTCCAGGGCGGTCTCAACACCCCATTCCTGGACTACTCGGGGGTCCTGTTGAGGCCGGCTGTGGCCACTCGGGGGGGGCTTGTTGATGCCGAGGCCAGCCGGGGCAACCTGGGGGGGCTGTGTGTGCGCAATCCGGAGTCTGACCCAGCTGCGCTGGGATTTTTTCAAGACGTTGGATTTCTCGCGGGGTGGATTCTGAACAGAATTTCGAGGCGAATTCGGCCGTGGCGACGAGGGCTCTCCAGGACGAGCAGCGGCATCGGTTTCTTTCCCTCTTCCGAGGTCGAGGATCAAAATCCGCCTTGTTTTTTTGTTTTCTTGTGTCCTCTGGCGCGCACCGGTCGTTGCCCAGCTCCCTCCCCGCGCACCTGTAACGAGTGAGCGCAGGAGGCCCCCCCTATGCTCGTGCCTGCGCGCGCACCATGGCGATCTCAGCCCGCCCCCGCCCCGACCTGCCCCACTCCGCCCGAGCGTTCCCTTTCAGGTCGGGATTTTCGACGAAAAATTAATAATACCCCCAAAATAATCGAACATCCCCCTGTAGGGGGACACGCCCCACGTAACCCAAGCGTTACCCTTACCTGGATCTCCCGCGGCCGCCCGGGACGGTCCGGGCGCAGACGGAGCCCGCCCGGCGAGGCGCAGCCGCTGGAACGCACCCCGGGGCTGGGAGAATTCCGACGACGGAGCCCGAAAGCCGCCGAACCTCGACGAGAACGCCAGAACCCCCCCCCCCCAAAGTAGCCTCCGTCACCGGAAGTGAGAAACGATGCTCAGGGGAGTTGAGGTGATCAGGGAAGTCGGGGAGCATGCAGAATAACAAAGGGCGGGGGAAGCTGTCACAGACCCCGAGAGGGGGAGGATGGAAGAGGAGTCGTCGTCGTCGTCGTCGTCGTCGGAGGAGGAGGAGGAGGAGGAGGGGGAAGAGGAGAAGGAGGAGGAGGAGGAGGAGGACGGAGAAGGAGGAAGAATCGGAGGAGGAGGAGGAGGAGGGGAAGGAGCTTCTTGGGGGTCTTTTGAGGGCCTCTTGGAGGGCTTTTTGGGCGCCTTGGGGCATCTTGGGCGCCTCTTGGGACCCTCTTGAGGCGCTCTGGGGAGCCTTCGGGGCGCTTTTGGGGCCATCTTGGAGGGAGTCGATCAAACAAGAGGGGGGGTTTAATTAGCGTCCCCCCTCGGAAGCCCCTAAAATCGCCTCTTGGACCCCTCTTGGAACGCTCTTGGAGTGCTCTTGGGCGCTCTTGGGGCCGTCTTGGGGCTCTTTTGGGGCTCTCTTGGGGCCCTCTTGGGCCATCTTGGAGCCATCTCCAGGCCTCGGATGGCCATCGGAAGCGAAAAGGCGAGAAAGCAAAAATCATTGATTTTCCTTAGGTTTTGGGACGATTTTGGCCTCTTCGGGGCCTCCTTGGGGAGCTGTTTGGCCACTTGGAGTTATCTTGGGGCCGTCTTTGGGCTTCTTGGAACCATCTTAGGAGCCATCGTGAGCGATCTTGCGCTATCTTGAGCCATCTTGGAGCTCATCTTGGGTTCTCTGAGGCGCTCTTGGAGCCGTCTTGGGCCATCTTGGACGCTCTAACTACCCGCGGCCCCCCCCGTCCAGGTCCAGGGGAGGGGGTAGGGGGAGGGGTAAACCCCTCCCCAAGGGGGAAGAGGGAGGGGTGGAAGAGGATCTGCTCTAGACCACCTACGCCCAGAGGGCTGGTGGGATTACGCTACCGATGAACCCCACATACCTTTTATGATGGAGGAAGTGATGAGAGCTGGAATGAAGCATGTGAGAATGATGTTGGTGGCCGCTGTCCCGCCGATACCGCTGTGCCCTGGACGACCGTCACGGATAGCGGCCGCGGTGAGAGACCACCCCCTGCGCACCCCCGTATGGTGTCGAGAATATGCCATGCATGCTGTGCCCTGGACGACCGTCACGGATAGCGGCCGCGGTGAGAGACCACCCCCTGCGCACCCCCTATGGTGTCGAGAATATGCCATGCCTGCTGTGCCCTGGACGACCGTCACGGATAGCGGCCGCGGTAAGAGACCACCCCCTGCGCACCCCCTATGGTGTCGAGAATATGCCATGCCTGCTGTGCCCTGGACGACCGTCACGGATAGCGGCCGCGGTGAGAGACCACCCCCTGCGCACCCCTATGGTGTCGAGAATATGCCATGCCTGCTGTGCCCTGGACGACCGTCACGGATAGCGGCCGCGGCAGGAGACCACCCTGCGCACCCCTTATGGTGTCGAGACTATGCCATGCCTGCTGTGCCCTGGACGACCGTCACGGATAGCGCCGCGGTGAGAGGACCACCCCCTGCGCACCCCCTCTGGTGTCGAGAGATATGCCATGCCTGCTGTGCCCTGGACGACCGTCACGGATAGCGGCCGCGGTGAGAGACCACCCCTTGCGCACCCCTATGGTGTCGAGAATATGCCATGCCTGCTGTGCCCTGGACGACCGTCACGGATAGCGCCGCGGTGAGAGACCACCCCCTGCGCACCCCCTATGTGTCGAGAATATGCCATGCTGCTGTGCCCTGGACCGTCACGGATAGCGGCCGCGGTGGAGACCACCCCTGCGCACCCCCTATGGTGTCGAGAATATGCCATGCCTGCTGTGCCCTGGACGACCGTCACGGATAGCGGCCGCGGTGAGAGACCACCCCCTGCGCACCCCCTATGGTGTCGAGAATATGCCATGCCTGCTGTGCCCTGGACGACCGTCACGGATAGCGGCCGCGGTGAGAGACCACCCCCTGCGCACCCCCTATGGTGTCGAGAATATGCCATGCCTGCTGTGCCCTGGACGACCGTCACGGATAGCGGCCGCGGTGAGAGACCACCCCCTGCGCACCCCCTCTGGTGTCGAGAATATGCCATGCCTGCTGTGCCCTGGACGACAGTCACGGATAGCGGCCGCGGTGAGAAACCACCCCCTGCGCACCCCCTGCGGCGCCCAGGATATGCCACGCCTGCCACGCCCTGGGAGCCTACAGTGCATAGGGCCCCCACCCCCAGCGCACCCCCTGTGGCGTTGTGCTGTGCTGTGCTGTGCTGCTGTGCGGTGAGCTGTGCTGTGCCGTGCTGTGCTGTGCTGTGCTGTGCTGTGCTGAGTTGAGCTGAGCTGCGAGAAGGAAAAGGGGAGGGGGGAGGAGGAGACGCGGGTGCGCCGCGGCAGGGGAAAAAACCAGAACCCCACGAAACATGTGGGGAAAAACATCGGCGGGGAAGTTCGAACTCTACCCTCTCGCCGACCAACGGTTCAGGCGGCTCGATGGGCGGCGGGGCGATGGGATGGGCCCCAGCTCACCCCCGATGGGATGGGGGGAAGACGACGACGACGACGACGATGGCCCGAAGCCGATCCCGAGCGGGCCCGGCCAGGATTCCATGAACCTGCGGGTCAAGCGGCGCGGCACAAGCGCCGCGCGCCCGGTCCCCGCCTCTCGGGGTCCGGGCGAGGGGGCCTTTCTAGGGTCGGGGTCTGCGCAAGAAGCGAGGAGAGGAGGAGGAGGAGGAGGAGGAGGAGGGGGAGGAGGAGGAGGAGGAGGAGGAGGAGGAGGAGGAGGAGGAGGACGGAGGCAGGAGGGGGTATGGGAAGGGAGGGGGCAGAAGGCAGGCGGGGCAGGATGATCGATGAGGGGGGGGGGACGAAATCTGCTGCCGGGCGCCTTCCTCGATACTGGCGCCCGCGGCGCCAGGAGGCGCTTGGAAAATCAGCTATGCGGCTTGATTCGGCACCCCACCCTTACTACCCACCCCCCTCCTCCATTCCTTTTCTTTCTCCTCGTCCCCCTTTCCTCCTCTTTTTCCTCCACCCCCATTCCTCCTCTTTTTCCTCCTCCCCCATTCCTCTTCTTCTCTCCTCCCCCATTCCTCCTCCTCCTCCTCCTCCTCCTCCTCCTCCTCCTCCTCCTCTCCTCCTCCTCCCTCCTTCCCGCCACGTCTTCCTGATCCTCCTCCTCCTCCTCCTCCTCCTCCCTCCCCCTCCCTCCCCCTCCTGCTCCCCCCTCCCCTCCCCTCCCCCGCCCTAGAGGTCCCAGAAGGCCCCGGCCCCCTTTCGCGGGGAGCTCTCCACCGAGATCCCGGCGCTGCCTTCCTTCCCGCGGCGGTCGACTCTGCCTGCCGCCCCCTCGGGCCGCGGGGCCCTCGCGGCTGGACCTGGCCCGAAGCCTGCAGAAGGAAAATGCCCCCTTGGAATCCACTGCCCCTCTGCTATGAGGCCGTTGTATAGGAGAGGGAACAGAGGACAGAGTGTTTACACAGTTTTGAGGAATTCGTGAATTCAGCATGAGTCCGGCTTGAAGTGCCTCGAAGAAAGCGCGCGCACCCGAATCGCAGACATATGGCTATATGCGGACCTGGGACACTTTGCTTCCCGTCGTCGTCCTCGCCCTTGCTCCATTCCCCTTCCTGTCTTCCCTTCCCTGGATGGTGTCGAAAGCGTCCGCGGCTCGGGCGGGGGAGCGCCCCTTCCCACCTCCCTTATTTTTCCTCGTTCCTCTTTGCCTCCCTGCTCCACCGTCCGTCGTCCTACCTCGTCCACCCTCCTTGTTCGAAAAGTGAAGTCCCTGGTGCCGCGTGCCCGCGTCAGCGGTAAATGCTTTTTCGATGCCCGAGCACAGCGGCGCAACCAAACAGAGGGGATTGCCAATGCGAGAGTTCGGGGCGCACCCAAAATGCGGGCGGCACGGCCGCCGAGCACAGTCGCATCGCTAACATGTAAATTATAGGTGCCTGCGGCAAGGTCCGCCCCCCTGCCGGAGCAGTGGTCTATATGGCAGCGCGCGGAGCTTTGACTTGTAAGAGGTCCATGACATGTGACATCTCTCGTGTTTTCGGATTGCTGCGCGGCATTAGTTGGTGTCCTTCGAGGCCTTTTGGGGCGTCTTCGGGCCGTTGAGGGCCGCTTTGGCGCCGCGTTGCACCGCGGCCGCCCTGGGCCAGGGAAGCGTGTATTTGCGGTTCTCTCGGGGGCGCCCTGGGCCGGGGAAGTGTGTATTTGCATTCCCCCCCAGCTGGGCATGTCAACTTCGGTTCTGGGCTGGCAAAGTCGGGGCGCCCTCGAGGTGGCGAGCGTTTACCTTTTCGAAATACACAGATCAACGTGTGATCTGTGTACACAGTTTGTGTCTTCAACTGTGTATTTTCGTGTGTGGGCCCGCTGTTTACACAGATCGTCGTGTGATCTGTGTACACAGATCTCGTTCCCATCTGTGTATTTGGAGTGTGTCCCTCGCGGGTGGTGTCGAATGGGCGGAAACTTTCGCGTTTCTCTTCCGGCTGGTCCAGGGGGGCGTCGTGCGCGGTCGAAATACACAGTTCGTGTCTCCAACTGTGAATTTGTTGCGGGCCGTTCGCTGGAGTGGTCTCTGGGCGGGAGTTTCCGCGGGTCTCCCGGCTGGTCCAGGAGGGGGCCGCGGTCTGGGCATGCAAAGGCGCGGGGGGGGTGGGGAGGGTGGGCTGTGGGAAGGAAGGGGTTCGATAGGAGGGGTGGCCGAGGGGCCAGAGATGAACGGGACTGGACGAGAGCGGAGGAAATGAACCCAGGAGGATTTGCATCATCGGTGTCAGCATCACGAGGGCGAGGGAGGTGGGGTGGGGGGCAGAAATTGGGGGCGTGATGTGCAGTAGGGCGTAGAGGATGGGAGGAGGGCAGGCATGTGGACGATGGGGGAACGAATCCGGCGCAGGAGGACGACGAGGAACGACGTCAATTGGCACATGGGGGGGAGCAGTGTGGATGAAGGGCATGATGAGGACCGGGGCAATCGGAGGGGCATGAGGAGGGTGGAGCCGCAGCGAAGGGGGATATTTGGAAGAGGCGGGGGGTGGGGCATGAGCTCGAGGCGGGCGCCAGCAAACGATTCGCTGAACAGTGTTTTGCTTGTCCGTGCACCCCCAGAACACAGTGACTGGTTGCAGAACTTCATGATAAGGGTAATCGTGCGTTTCGTGCTTCCAGGCCACAGGCTCGAGTCCGCGACGCCCCTTGGCGTCGCGATGATGCCGCCCCGATTTGCCAGACCGCATATGCACAGATACGCAGAACATGTGTTGCAACGTTTGTTTCATGACCTTCTCTATACTAACAGACCCACGTTGGAATCCAAATGCCCCCTCCTCCCTTCTTCTCCTCCCCCTCCTCCTCGTCCTCCTCGTCCTCCTCCCTCCTCCCTTCTCCCTCCCCTCCCTCCTCCTCCCTCCTCCTCCCTCCTCCCTCCTCCTTCCTCCCTCCTCCCTCCTCCCTCCTCCCTCCCTGCTCCCTGCTCCCTCCTACCTCCTCCTCCCTCCGCCCTCCTGCCTTTTTTTTCCTCCCCCCTCGAGTGCTCTGGTCGGGTTTTTTGTTCTGATGTTGCAGCCTTTCGCGAGGTCAGATCTCAGGGAACCCTGGCATCCGCCGGTCCACCCTGTTCAATCCGCGGCCCCAGAGGACCCGACTGTCTCCCCAGAGGTAGGTTTTCGTCCCCGACCCCTTGTTTTGGGCCCTCGAGGGCCCAGAAGAGGCCCCGGATGGCCGAAACCGAGAGAAAGGCACACGCCGCTTGGACGCAAAAATGCAGCTGTGGGCGTCTGGGGGGTGCTGTGCGGCCTCTCCCGCAGCCCGGAGGGCCGAGGGCGAGGAAATGAGCGCCGGTCCCTGACCTTCCAGAGCGTTAAAGGCAATAGCCCTTCAGACCTGCAGGCCTATCTCCACTGCGCGAACCTTCAGCTGGAGTTTTTGACGTCGAGGGCCTGGTGCTAATGTTTTAGCCCTCGGGGAAGGTCTGGGGCTGAGTAAACCTCATGGCGGCGGGCGTCTGGGGTCCGCGCGGTCGCCCCCGCAGCCGCCTTCGTGCTGTGCTACCCCGAGCAGCCGGTCCTGGAGGTGAAGGCCCTGCGCCCGCCAGCCGCGCCTCGGCGGCGGCTCGGCGCGGCGGCTCCGCCCGCGCCGAGGCGGGCGGAGCTGCTGCTGCGTGCTGCCCGGGGGGTCGGGTTTGGGCGGGTGGGCGGGTGGGAGCAGGAGGAGGAGAGGAGGAGGAGGAGGAGGAGGAGGAGGAGGAGGGAGGAGGAGGAGGAGGGAGGAGGAGGTGGAGGTGGAGGTGGAGGTGGAGGTGGAGGTGGAGGAGATGGAGGAGGTGGAGGAGGAGGAGGAGGAGGTGGAGGTGGAGGTGGAGGTGGAACGGGAGGAGGTAGGATGTAGGAGTGAGGAGTAAGAAGGGGCAGGAGGGGGGGATGAGGTGACGGAAGAGGAGGGAGCAGGAGGAGAGGAGCAGGAGGCCGGAGGAAGGCGGAGGGAGGAAAAAGGGCGATGGCGACGATGGGGGACTGGAGGGGAGTGAGGAGGGCGCATCCGGTGATGACGGGCCGTGGCGGCCTCGTCGGAGGGCAGCTGGTGTAGAGGGCGAACTCAGTCTTCTGGCCCCCGTTCTCTCGATGCTTTCGAGACGCGGGCCCCTGTTCTCTCGACCACTTCCCCGGGACCAGTTTTTGATCCCAAGTCGTTGTTTGGACGGTCCCGAGGGTCAGCAAGGGCCCCTAGAAGCCGAAAACAATGAATTGGCCTGATGAAGGACCCAGCCATATGCAGTTGCGTGTACCGCGAGGGAGACGAGACGAAGGAGGGGGCACGCAAACTACTTTGAATAGCGCACGTGGTAGGGCCTCTGCCCTCCTAGGCAGCGCGGGCCACGAAACGCGTGATGTGTGCGCCGACATGAGGCGGGCGGACGCATGCGACCGCCGCCATTGAGGCCTTCGGTGGAGCTCCCTATGGGGCCACGAGACGTTGTACTGTGTGGGCCGGACGCATGGGAACGCTGCCACTGGGGCCTTCGGTGGAGCTCCATCTGGGGCCACGAAAATCTGTACTGGTGGGGTGGGGCGGGCGAATTCGAACGTCGCCGCTGCGCTGTTCTGTGGGACTGAGGAAGTTCTGTACTGGGTGGGGCGAGGCGGGCGCATGCGAAAGTTGCCACTGGGGCCTTCAATGGAACTCCCGATGGGGCCACAAAGCGCTGTGCTGGGTGGGGCGGGCGCTTGCGAACGTCGCCACTGGGGCCTCTGGCGAAATGTCCTCTCGGGCCGCGAATCGCTGTGCAGGGTGGCCGGGCGCTTGCGCGAATCTCAGCCGTGCTTATGATAATATCCTTCATGAAATTGCGAGTGCTGCAATGGAGCGTTCACGTTACCCTCTGGCAGTACGATATGTATGCAAATCGGCATGGAAAGGCCCTCGTTGGTGCAGCCTCAACGGAGAACTGGCAGAGAGGGCAATATACGCAGACCGAGGCTTGCCACAAGGAGACAGCACAGCACCTGGGACCATGATCAGTACCCTTGTTCCTTGGATCACGTCGGGCCCCTCGGGATGCTTTATGGATGACCGCTATATTGTTGGAGATAGCCCGCAGGGGCTGCTGGACGACATGGCCGAAACATCTACCTTCGACAGTGACGTGGGTTTCAAAGCGAACAACAAGAAAACGCAGATATGGTCCACCATGGACGCGGAGCCGCAGCAGATCGAACACCTCGGTCTCCTTGCTTGTCCTACCGACGTGACATGGGCCATCATACCAAAAGACAAATGGGCTAAACTTCACACTGGGATTTCTATTCTTCAGTCTGTTCCTGGATCTTGCATGGTGAGATTGCGACTGGCCTATACATACCTAAGACCTCTATGGACGTGGGGAGCCCCTATCGTGACACCCCCACCGACAGCGACGGCAAAGCTTTTGGCGAGAGCAGTGTGGCGCACCCAGAACACATGGTGGTGCCTGGGCAGATGGTGGTGCCAGAACATCATGCTCCACCCCGTCTACTCTTGCAGCCTCTTCGCCTTCAGACGTTTACATGACGAAAAGTTGATTTGGTCATCTTTCCTAGAGAACTCGACCCAAGTACACGCCCGAACGTTGGGATTGGAGTATATACGATTTTCAGAAGAAAGGGGTGTCTTACTGGAAGTCTCTTCTATGGACGACTTCAGAGTATTGCAGATTGTGGAAGGTTTGGCGGACGCTCAGCTCAGATTTTGGACACACTCCAAGCGTGCACAACACGTCCTTCGAGTCATCGCAAGGATCAGGTGCCTTCAAATCGTGGAGCCCCGCAGGAAAGACTCAGAGGAGGTCGAGTCGGTGGACGTCGACGCCTGCAGCAACAAAGTTTTCACAAAGTGGTTTCATTCCTTGAGTATTGCCGAGAAGTTCAGCCTCTCCGTGTTCCGTTCAGGGGCTGCTTCATCGGAGACACGTCGACAGACAGGGCTACCTTGCCCACACTGCGGCCATTTGTGGCCATCCATCCGACATCAGGTCGTGGAGTGCCCACATTGGGATGGGCTTCGAGCTGATCTATCATCAAAGTTTGTTTTGCCGCCTACTTTCTGGACCAGCCTCCCGCGGGTCTCAGCCAAGAGTGGGTGGATAACGTATGCGGCAGACCCTGCATCAAATGTCAGAAGGGCTACCATGCTGAGGGCCATCTGTGAGATGGGAATCGGCATCATTGGCAGCGGACTGGAAGGACGACTTCATGACCCTGCACCGCCTCCCGTGCGGCGCAGAGTTCGTGTTGCTGCGTAACTACCACGCGTGGATCTACCCCATGGTCAGGGTATTCCACCTCATCTTCTATACGCTTGCGAACGTCGTCACTGGGGCTTTCCGTGGAGCTCCCTCCGGGTCCATGCTGTGCAGGGAGAGGCGGGCGCATGCGAGCGTCGCCACGGGATTTTTCGGTGGAGCTCCCTATGAGGCCACGAAGCGCTGTGCAGGGTGGGGCGGACGTATGCGAACGTCGCCACCGGGTGGAGCCTTCGGTGGAGCTCCCCATGAGGCCACAAAGCGCTGTGCAGGGTGGGGCGGACGCATGCGAACGTCGCCATGGGAGCCTTCGGTGGAGCTCCCTATGAGGCCACGAAGCGCTGTGCAGGGCGGGGCGGACACACGCGAACGTCGCCACTGGGTGGCAAAGCGCTGTGCAGGGTGGGGCGGACGCATGCGAACGTCGCCACTGGGGCCTTCGGTGGAGCTCCCTATGAGGCCACGAAGCGCTGTACTGGGTGGGGCGGGCGCATGCGGACGTCGCCATTAGGCCTTCGGTGGAGCTCACTACGGGGCGAAAGCGCGTCTTGCTTGGTAGGGCGTACGCATGGGAACATCGCCATTGTGGCCTTCGGTGGAGCTCCCTATTGGGCCGCGAAGCGTTGTTTTTTTGCATGGTGCACGCATGCGAACGTCGCCGCTGTGGCCTTCGGTGAAGCTCCTTAATAGGCCACGAGGCGCTGTTTTGGCTAGGGCGGACGTAAGCGAACGTCGCCACTGTGGTCTTCGATGGCCTTGAGTGAAGCTCCATCTGCGGCCACGAAGCGCTGTGCTGGGTGGGGCGGGCGCATGCGAACGTCGCCACTTGGCCTTCGGCGGGATTTCCTAGAGGGCCACGAATCGCTGTGCAGGGTGGCCGGACGCATGCGAACGTCGCCGCTGGGACCTTCGGCGGAGCTCCCTATGGAGCTACTACGAAGCGCTGTACTGGCTGGGGCCGACGTGTGCGAACTTCGCCATTGGTGCCTTCGGTGGCGTTCCTTACCTTATGGAGCTACTACGAAGCGCTGTACTGGGTGGGGCGGACGCACATGAACGTCGCCACTGGGGCGTTCGGTGGGGCCCTTTACAGGCCACGAAGCGCTGTGCTGGGTGGGGCGGACGTACACGAACGTAGACGGTATGGTCACCACCCTCCTGCACATCGTGCTCGGGGCCGTCGGGTCGGACCCCTTGTCCGAAGCGAAGACTGCACCCAGCAGTCATGGTGACGAACATCAGATTTCTTGGGAAGAAGTCACACTACTTGACCCGTGCGGCAGAGTAGTGTGTACAGCTGAACCAGATGTTCAGCGAGATGGACTTGAAGATGAGTACTTCTCCGACGACCCACTTTGCGGAGGAGGAGTCAAACGTGGAGGGAAGAGTGCTGCCAAAGCGACGAAGGGGCGTCGCGAAGTTGCAGATCTTGCCAACCAGGTGAATCAGATCACCACAGTTTTGAACAACTTGACTGAGAAGATGGGCGTGGAGTCTCAGGTGGCTGTGGGGAAGTCGCCAAAGAAACGCACGGCCAAGCACACACAAGTACCGCCGACACTTCAGAAGATACGAGAGTATATGAAGTACGTGCGGGTCAACCACATCAAGGTCACGGAGGAGCAGGTGCAGGACAAGCTGCGCGGCCTCCTCACGAGAACCACGGCGGCATCGACGTGGCTCAATGGGGGACCTGCGGCTGAGAAGCCGCAGGATACAAAGTTGGTCGTACATTCTCAACCGTGGGGCACGGCGAAGATTGTCAAGGCCGCTAATATCAGGACGACGACACTCGACGGCCCAGCCGTCATCACGTGCCAGTCGGCCACGGAGTACGAGCAGGCAACACAGTGGCTCGGATCCATCAAAGAACAGCCCAGTGGGATGACGTTCATTGTCTTCAATGCACCGTCGATTTTGACTGGGGCTACCACTACCGAGGTCATGTGTGAGACATCTGCGGGGGTCAGACCACACACGGCCCAGATGATTACGACGGGGACCTCGCCACCGACACGCCAAGGGCTACCTACAGGCTTGAAGGATGACGAGGTCTCGACCGCACCACCCTTGGCCACAGCAGCCTTACGGCTCACGATTGCAGAGGCGTTCGCTGATGATGCTACGTACGCAACGGTCAAGGAGAAACCAGTGGCAATGGCGACAGTACTATTCCCTCAAGTGCTGGCGGCCAAGATTTTGAAAGTCAAAGGGGCAGTCAACTACCAGACGGAGTCGACGGCGATTATCCTTGTGCGAGAGAGTGATACAGATACATTTTTGAAGTGGACAGCCCCGTCAGTGGTTTTCTTGAATAGACAATCTAGCAAGCTGGTGCCAGTCTGGCACAAACTACGAGAAGGCGAGAACATGATGGTGTACCTCACCAGGGTGACTGCTGCAGCCACACAGGTCGAGGGCCGATTGGTGTATCGCCCATCAGATAACGCATCTTTGGGAATTCTATCCCAGAAGTCCATGGCAGCCGACATCCAACCTCGATGGTATTTGCAGAAGTGCCCAGAGCACTGGTCATCATCACAGGAGGTCGAGGAGTGGGCCAAAGCCAGAGGGTTCCAGAATATCGACGGTATCACACGATCGAGTAAAAGAGCCTGGTTTATACGAGCTGATCTGGACGGATTGGTCAAAGATCAAGTATGCACCTTCAAGTCGGGGATCATAGCTAGCCTAGCTGTGCCTCGCAGGACATCATCACGACCGCCTCCACAGGCCAAAGGAGCATCAGCGTGGGGGACTCCCGCGCCGGCCAGAGCTCCAGTGCAGAAGGCGACAGCAGAAGTGAAAGCAGAAGTATGTGACAAAGATGGCGACGTGGGCATGGAGAATGCTGAGGAAGGCGAACAGCAGCGACCGCCGCAGCCAGGCTCAGCAGCAGCGGCCTCAGCAGTAGCAGCAGCCCCACCCCAGGCTCCACAGGCGCCTACGAGGCCCCCATGGGAGGCATATTTCAATGAGAAGTGTTGCGGGGGAGACGGGGATTGCTTTTTCCTGACGGCCTCCCACGGCATACGAGCGAATCGATCCAAGCCAAAGCAGATGGCGGAGAAGGAGATGGGCCCTGGAGGTGCACTCCAGGCCAACCTGCGCATGATTGTGTCCGCCAGCATGACGGACAACAAACGCTATCCCCAGGACGAGGCCCGCAAGGCAGCCAAGACTGGGGAATGGGCCACATCGGCCATGGTGAGAGCGGCAGCGGTCACCACGAAGACGAATTTCGCTATCTGGAAAAAGTCCCGCACTGGAACATGGACCTTGTATACCGCCCCAGCGGACATCAAGACCAAGCAGGTAGTGTGGGCCACGTTGGTGGACAAGCACTACAAACTTCTTCTCCCAAAGGCGGGTGTTGAACTACCCCAGGAGATTTTGACAAGATGGACGACTGCGGCATTCCCGTATCCAGCACGATTTACAGGAGGAGGAACGGGCAGCGAACCACACACACCATCAGCGCGAGCTCCGTCGATCAGAGGAGCACGCAGCATGCTGGGACTCAGCCCAGCATCGACCAAGAAGACCGCGAGAGCTTTGAATGCAGCCAGGAGTTTGCTGGGTCTCAGTCAGTCGGGGCGTTCTAAGACCTCGAAGGCGACGGCCAAGGCATCCTCGAAGCCGACGGCTAAACGCCTGGCACGCGCCAGGAGTATTCTGGGATTATCAGTTGGCGATGAGGCTGTCGATGACCCTCTGCCTGATCATGATCTACCAGCATGCCGCCCTGAGCGCTACAACTATTATTTTTGTGACTGTGGGTGGAAGCCTGATGGAGCGCATGCGCCCTGTCACGTTCTACAACAAGCACGAGTACACTGGCGAGCCTGCAAGGGCACACCACCGCCCAAGGAGCCACCTGAGAACAGGGCAGCACGGCTGAGGGCGGTGACCAGCTTATCATACATGGATAAAGGAAAGCGAGACAAAGCTTGGAGGAGGTACACTACATGGCACCAGTCTCTACCTGAAGATGTGAAGCCCAGTGTCTGCCAGATCACGGAGGACAACGTCGAGACGGTCAAGGACGGCAAGCAGGGCAACACGGTATATTCTTGTACGAGATGCGGCAGACGCAAGACGTTGGCCAAGCATATTCTGAAGAAAGGGAACACAGCGTGGGCAGTCTGTGCCAGGCGACCAGGTGACCCACGCAAAGTCAAGGAGGCTACGCACGACGTCTGGGCCAGGATAGTCAACAGGGACTACGCGGACCAGATCGAGGCGGCACATAAAAAGACGCAGGAAAAGCAGAGACGCAGACAACGTACTCCAGAGATGAAGGCCAAGCGCCAAGAGTATTTCAAGAGGCAGAAGCTGATGCGGATGCTACGCAGACCTGCAGCAGTGGCTCCCGGCGAGGTGCCTGAGCAGGAAGAGGCAGCAGCAGCCTCAGCATCATCATGACGGGATCCGCTCCTGGGAGGAGGAGGCCACCGTGCTGAAGGCCACGATGACTCCCAGGGGCAACCACTACCCAAGCGGCAGAAGAAAGCTTCGACAAATGTGGGGTTGACTACCCAACGGGGGGCGCGGTGCGAGTGGGGACTGCCCGGCGGTGCGCCGTTAGTGACCATCGCACCGTCGCTCCCCGACACAGTTTCAAAGAAAGCAAGGGCTACTACGGCTTCGGGGGCTACTACGGCTTCAAAGAAAGCAAGGGTCATGGACATAAGTGCCGCGGACCCGTCCCAGAATTCAAAGGCTGTATTTGCAGACCAAGCAGTTTCTGAACTTGCTCCAAAGACTGATTTTTCTAGTTCTTCGAATTCAAAGACTGTATTTGCAGATCAATGCCTCGACGTGCACGGGGAGGCCAAAAGGCAGCGGTGCGGATCGGCTCAGCGGCGTCAGGGCGCAAGTCCTGGGGAAGCCCCGAATGCGAGGGAACACCCCAGGCAGCGTCGCCACGTTTTGCAAGCCTGGGGAAGCCCCGAATGCGAGGGAACACCCCAGGCTGGGGACGCCAGGTCAACACCTTCGAGGCCGGCGACGGGACCGACGACGACACCAACACCATTGAGGAGATCATCGACGCGGAGTCCGAGATCCTCCAAACGCTTGAAGACAGGTATAGAAGATGAAGTGGAATACCCTGACTATGGGGTTGACCAAGCTGAAGAACAAGTCAACGGGACGGGGCCCCAGGGCTCAGAGAATGACCAGGGCGAGAACATCGATCGCCTGCAGGTAGCTACAATCAACGTCACCAGCATCTCAAAGGCCAGATTGTCGGAGATCCTGGACAACGTCGCGGACGACGTCGGCGTACTATGTCTACAGGAGATACGACTCCCTGACATGAGGCCGAGGTGGCTGATCAACTTCTGCGCCCGACGAGGGTGGGGTGCAGCGTGCTCGAAGCCCCCTCCTCCTGGGGCAAGAGTAGCAACGACACAGGGCGGCTGCGCGATCTTGTGGCGACGGGCCATGGGAAAGATCAGCGTCATCAGGGACGACAAGCTCGACCATCGGATGGTTGGGATCAGAACTACCAAAGCAACAATCTTGAGTATGTACGGACCTCAGTGGTATGATCGATCATGGTTTTTGACAGCTCTGGATTATGCCAAATCACTGGGTCATCTGGGCCATCCCCTCTATATCATAGGGGACCTCAATTGGAAAGCTTCATATAATACTTTATTGGACATTGGATGGCAGCTGGACGTATCGCACGACCAATCTGCTCAGGTGACCACAGCGACAGGTACAGCTCCGACAAGGGCGTTATCTTGGGGAAATCCGCAGGATGCCCCACCCAAGTACATGGGTGCCAAGCTCTTGCCAGGGATCCCCCACCACGCAATGGTCAAGTACCAGTTGGAGATACCATGCGTTGCTATCCCACGGTACCGACTACACCACACGGCTTCCTTCCTACCGGTGGTCAACACCAGGACGGTTACGGCCGAGTACAAGAGCCTCTTGAAGGAATCGTTAGATGCAGCGTGCGCGGCTCCACATATCAATGGGGCCATCGACCTGGATCTCAACAACGACACGGATGCCCCGCTGGTTACGAGGTGGCGCTACTGGCACGAACGAGCGGAGGCAGCACTCAACATCGCAGTTGACAAAAAGCTGGTGGAGATTGACCGTCTACCTGAGAGGAGCAAGGGCTCCCAACCCACGCAGAGGCCAGCAGCACATGGACCTCGGTTTCGACCAGAACAAAGTATAGCACACAGGCGTCTTCTCCGTCTTCATCGTCGCTTCTCGGAGGCGCTCAGGCAGGGAACGTCAGCGATGGCAGAGGTATCCCCACGGCACTTCATGGATATTGCCAGAGCGGCCTTCGAGGGTATCGTCAACATGAAAGCAGAAGGTATTCCTTGTTATGCGGATTGTCTCCAGTGGCTGACGGCAGCCATATCAGCGGAGAATATCAAATTGCAACGCGAAGCCCAGAGATCTTGGAAAGAAAAGTTTGCAGCGTGGTCCACCGAAGTGTACAAGGTAGCCACGCCTATGTTCAAGCAAGCACCCCCGGCATCATCTTGTCATGTCTCGCAGTTCGCCGAAGAGTGGGAGGCACAGTGGAAGCCTGGGAATGTTGACAAACAAGCACACCTTCGAGCCTGGCAACATCGTGCAGATCAAGTTGAATTTCCGAAGTCGACTTTACATGAGATGTGGTTGCCAACGAAGGAACAGTTTGACGAAGCGCTGAGAAGCTCCAAGGGCTGTGCTGGATTGGATGGGTGGTCTTTCAGAGAGATTCGTATCCTGGCAGACCTGTACCCAGAGATTATTGCAGAGCTCTACACGCTGTGGTGTGATACTTCAAGGTATTGCATTGAACATGAAGGCTGTCCACCAGGAGAACTCCATGATCTGGTATTCTCCTGGAGAGTGGCAGGTATGCCCAAGGGGGAGGATGACACGAGGCCCATCAGCGTGGGCAGCGTGTTACTACGTATTTGGCTCAGAGCACTGGCATTTGCAGCTCCTGAACCTCCAGAGGGCCAATGGGCTAATCGAAAGCATATATCAGTTACTCATGCGATCAGTCAGTGGTTGCGACATTGCGAATTGAGCTCGGATGGATGTGAATTGGATCTCAGCCGCGCTTATGATAATATACTTCATGAAATTGCGAGTGCTGCAATGGAGCGTTCATGTTACCCTCTGGCAGTACGATATGTATGCAAATCAGCATGGAAAGGCCCTCGTTGGTGCAGCCTCAATGGAGAACTGGCAGAGAGGGCAATATACGCAGACCGAGGTTTGCCACAAGGAGATAGTACAGCACCTGGGACCATGATCAGTACCCTTGTTCCTTGGATCACATCGGGCCCCTCGGGATGCTTTATGGACGACCGCTACATTGTTGGAGATAGCCCGCAGGGGCTGCTGGACGACATGGCTGAAACATCTACCTTCGACAGTGACGTGGGCTTCAAAGCGAACAACAAGAAGACGCAGATATGGTCCACCACGGACGCGGAGCCGCAGCAGATCGAACACCTCGGTCTCCTTGCATGCCCTACCGACGCGACATGGGCCATCATACCAAAGGATAAATGGGCCAAACTTCACACTGGAATTTCTATTCTTCAGTCAGTTCCTGGATCTTGCATGGTGAGATTGCGGTTGGCCTATACATACTTAAGACCTCTATGGACGTGGGGAGCCCCTATTGTGACACCTCCACCGACAGCGACGGCAAAGCTATTGGCGAGAGCAGTGTGGCGTACCCAGAATACATGGTGGTGCCTGGGCAGATGGTGGTGCCAGAACATCATGCTCCACCCAGTATACTCTTGCAGCCTCTTCGCCTTCAGACGTCTACATGACGAAAAGTTGGTTTGGTCATCTTTCTTAGAGAACTCTATCCAAGTTCACGCTCGAACCTTGGGATTGGAGTATATAAGATTTTCGGAAGAACGTGGCGTTTTACTGGAAGTCTCGCATATGGACGACTTCAGAGTATTGCAGATTGTGGAAGGTTTGGCGGACGCTCAGCACAGATTCTGGACGCACTCCAAGAGCTCAACATGTCCTTCGGGTCATAGCGAGGATCAGGTGCCTTCAAATCGTGGAGCCCCGCAGGAAAGATTCGGAGGAGGTCGAGTCAGTGGATGTCGACGCCTGCAGCAACAAAGTGTTCACAAAGTGGTTTCATTCGTTGAGTATTGCCGAGAAGTTCAGCCTCTCAGTATATCGCTCAGGGGCGGCTTCGTCGGAGACGCGTCGACAGACAGGGCTGCCATGCCCACATTGCGGCCATTTGTGGCCATCTATACGTCATCAGGTCGTGGAGTGCCCGCAGTGGAGCGGGCTCAGAGCTGATCTTTCATCAAAGTACGATTTACCGCCCATGTTCTGGACCAGCCTTCCAAGGGTTTCGGCCAAAAGTGGGTGGATCACGTACGCGGCAGACCCCGCGTCAAATATCAGAAGAGCTACCATGCTGAGGGCCATCTGCGAGATGGGCATCGGCATCATAGGCAGCGGACTTGAAGGACGACTTCATGACCCAGCGCCGCCCCCTGTGCGGCGGCGGGTACGTGTTGCTGCGTAACTACCACGAGTGGATCTACCCCATTGTCAGGGTATTCCACCTCATCTTCTATACGTACACGAACGTAGCCACTGGAGTGTTCGGTGTGGCTCCGTATGGGGCCACGAAGCGCTGTACTGGTTGGGGCGGACGTATGGAGCTATTACGACGCGCTGTGCTGGGTGGGACGGGGACGTATGCGAACGTCGCAACGGGATCCTTCGGTGGAGCTCCCAATGGGGCCACGAAGCGCTGTACTGGGTGGGGCGGACGCATGCGACCGTCGACAGTGGGGCCTTCGGTGGGGCTCCCTCTGCGACACGAAGCGTTGTACTGGGTGGGCCCGACGCATGCGGACGTCGCCACTGGGGCTGTCGGTGGAGCTCCCTATGGGCCACCAAGCGTTGTGCAAGGTGGGCCTGCCGCATGCGAACGTCGCCACTGGGGCCTTCGGTGGAGCTCCCAATGGGGCCACGAAGCGCTGTACTGGGTGGGGGTGGGGGGACGCATTCGAACGCCGCCACTGGGACCTCCGGTGGATCTCTCCGTGGGGCCCCGGAATGCTGTGCTGGGTGGGGCGCACGCGTGCGAACGTCGCCACTGGGGCCTTCGGTGGAGCTCCGTACGGGGCCACGAAGCGCTGTACTGGGTGAGGCGGGCGCATGCGAACGTCGCCACTGGGGCCTTCTTTGGAGCTCCGTATGGGGCCACGAAACACTGTGCTGGATGGGGCGGACACGTGCAATCTCCCTAGGTGGCCACGAAGAGCTGTGCAGGGCGGGGCGGGCGCATGCGAACGTCGCCACTGGGGCCTTCGGTGGAGCTCCCTATGAGGCCACGAAGCGCTGCACTGGGT